GGGGGTGCACATCAAAAGTTTGAGGGGGGGGGGTTGAAAATCGAAATCTTTGGGGGGGGGGGGGGGGGGGGTTCAAATCGAAAAGTTTGTCCCCGGGCGCCGGGAAGGGTCGCTATGCCACTGAGTGACAGACGTGGTTTTTTTTTATGGATGACCCCCGAAACCCACAGTTATCCAACGGATGACGGGTATTCTAGTATCTATATAAAAATAGAAAGAAGATATATATATATATATATATATATATATATATATATATATATATATATATATATATATATATATATATATATATACATATACCCTATAGGATTTTCATTTGGGTTTGGGGTGTACATACGTAAGGTACACTCGACGTAGCCACGCCACTGAATTAAGCATCTAATTAAAAAGTGGGAAGTATCTGGAAAGTTTAACATAAACGGTGCTTTAGAAGTAGATCAAAATTGAGTTTCAAGATTTGCATCAAGCCCACGAGCAGCCGTTGTGGACTAAATTAAAGTTTGAAAAAAAGGTAATAAAATAACTTTAAAATTGGTCTTCTTTGATGACAGTTTAAATATTTTGACTAATTAGAACATACCACTTAAGATTTACTATGGTTGTGTTCAAACGTAACGCAAACTTATTTTATATTTTTTAAAGATACACGCTGCTTCGTTTATAATATTGTCTACTCCCCCGACACACTTTGGAATAGTTTTACTGTACGGGTGCCATTGTATTAAGATATTACGTCCCCTTATATGCTTTTAAGACGAACAAAAGTAATGGCATAATCAATGGCTATAGCGTTGCTCAAAGTTTCTTACTGCAATTGTTTTTTTTCCCACGTTTTCTTTAACTTGCTTTCTCTGTTTGTGTGTTTGTTTGTCTTTCCAATCAAATCTTGCGATCGAAATTTCTGGCACTTCCCAGTTAGCTAGCGCGCTGAAATTTTCAGGGAAGCTTTCTTTTGGATGACCATTGAATATTCAATTGTTATTATTACTAAATTGATCAATGGAAACATTGTATTGAGCATTTTAGACCGCTATATAATCTATATATATAATTATCCTCTGCTAGCCATTAGAAAAAAAACCAGCGACGCGTACCTCGCGCGCAGTGAAGCGAACGATCACATGTCGCCACAGGCTTAGGGGCAGAGAATTTAGCTTGAACCGAGTTTAAAGTTACAGGAGGTAGGCCAGTTTGGGGGAGACGATATGGTCGAGTGGTTGGGCACACGATTGCTATCCCACTCGACACGGGTTCAAATCTATGTGTTCTAGTCAGTAACGTATTCAAACAACATGTTTTTTACGAGTTGTCTTTTTACGAGTTGTCTTTTTACGAGTTGTCTTTTTACGAGTTGTCTTTTTACGAGTTGTCTTCGTTTACCCAAAAAAAAAGTGAAAAGATAAAATCGATAGCAAGATTTTAATGCAAACAAACAGACAAAGACTAAAAAGTAGAAAATAATAATCATTAAAAAAGTTTTTAAAAACCCACGTTTTCTGATTGAACTAAAAAGTAGAAAATAAATACTATACATACAATAATGCAAGCGATCACTCTACTATAAGCTATCAAAAACGTGGGGCGCCGTGATTTTCTTACAGTTTCTAATACTGTTGACTCTCTACAAGCTCCCTAATAAAAGTCAATAGTATTATCTAATCAATAGTAATATAACTTTTACTTCGGCGACCCACGTTTTTGATAGCTTATAGTAGAGTGATCGCTTGCATTATTGTATGTATAGTATTTATTTTCTACTTTTTAGTTCAATCAGAAAACGTGGGTTTTTTAAAACTTTTTTAATGATTATTATTTAAAATACATTTTAACAGAGCTTAAAATGTAACCCAAATTAAACCACACTATCCCATGCTATAGTTTAGTCAAGATAAATAAACAAACAAAAAAACTTAGGAAACACGGGAGGTCACCTTCAAGTCATAAGACTATTGGTTAGGCCATCGCCGAGGTCCGAATTAACGAATCTAAATTACAGGAGGATTGCACCACATCTCGTGATAGAAAAGTACCAGGTACATCTTTCTTGAAACTATGGAAAAATACCGGTGATTGCACCACAGGTTGATTAATAAATGTCAACTAAAAAGATAGGACCTAAGTAGGTCACAATATATATATATATATATATATATATATATATATATATATATATATATATATATATATATATATATATATATATATATATATATATATATATATATATATATATATATATATATATATATATATATATATACATATATATATATATATATATATATATATATATATTACGGTCAAAGCCCGAAGAACTTAGCACTAAGATCGTATTTCGCACATTGGCCGGCCAATGCGCGCACTGGCCTGGACGTACTCGCCAAAGTCCAAAGCGCTTAAACTTGACAGCGTATTTTGTACATTGGCCGGCCAATGCGCGCACTGGCCGGGATGTCCTGGCCAATGTTCTATCTAGACTAAGTTGTGATCGCGTGTTCATTATTTTGGTTGCGTTTTCATTGTAACGTATTGTTTAGCTCTTGTTTGTATAGCATTCTATATGCAAGGCGACATGGATCAAAAGGGCCGTCAGACCATGAGACAGACATAGCAGATGGCTGCCAAAAGAAAATAAATGTAGACCCATGTTAGTTTTCATATATGGGCTCCAACTGTATGTGACAGCCTCCTCCCTGATGACAATCATCAAAGAACAAAACCATGGACAGGCTAAAGCAAAACAGACAAAACAAACTGTTGACTATCGTCGACTAAACAAATATGATGTTATTGAAGTTGACGGTAAAGAAAAACTTATTGTACCACTAACAGAAGACAATAATGCTATTTTTTACTTCGTGCACTCTGAAGAGTTGTTCGACTTGATCAATGAAACTCACTTGAAATGAAAGTCGGACATGGAGGTCGTACACGGATGGAAAAAGAGCTGAAGAGAAAGTACAAAAATATCACCAAAGAAATCATTACTATGTATCTTCGGTTGTGCAAGCCTTGTCAGACAAAATTGTCTAATCCCAAGAAAGGTCTTGTTTCCAAAACCTTGATATTTAAAGAATTTAACTCAAGATGCCAAGTGGATCTTATTGATATGCAAAGTAACCCAGACGGCAAATACAAGTTTATACTCAGTTACCAGGATCATTTAACCAAGTTCATATTGTTGCGAGCTTTGGAAACCAAAAGAGCAGAAAAAGTTGCTTACCAGCTGCTGGATATCTTCAAGACTATTGGTGCCCCAAGTGTGCTTCAATCAGATCATGGCAGAAAATTAGTGAATCAAGTTATTTCTGAATCAAAGAACGTGTGGCCTGAACTTAAACTAGTTCACGGAAAACCATGGCATAGCCAAAGCCAAGGTTCAGTCGAACGTGCCAACCATGATGTTCAAAACATGATGATGACATGGATGCAAACAAATGAATCAGCTCATTGGGCTGAGAGTCTGAAATTCATTCAATTTATGAAAAATCGTTCTTTTCATCACGGAATCCAACAATTGCCATACGAAGCCTTGTTTGGATGCAAAGCAAAAGTGGGACTTTTGTTTTGCATCCAAACAAGTAATATTAATTGGGACTTAGCACTTCAAATCTACCAAGAGAGGCTCTCGATAAAATAGTTACTGAGGAAGATCTTGAGAACATTGAACAAGAAAGCTAAATCATCTGCTGCCGTGGCCGAACGTCCAGATCAGTTGCATGACAATAATGTGGCCAACAGACACTGTATAGTTTGTGAAAAACATTGTAGTGCACAACAAATCGCTGCAAGTGTAAAAATTAGAAGCTATTATGTAATTCTAAATGTCATAAAAGTTCAACTTGTTGTAACAAATAATAATATTGATTGATTGAGACTATAGTAAAAAAAAATGTGAATGTTTCTGTCATTTCTTTAATTAGTAATCAATAAAGATTTAATTTCATGATCCCTACGGCATAAAAAAAGCCAAAACCTGCTCATGATCTTCTAATTTGGACTTTGGCCGGTCATCCCTAGCCAGATGACCTTCTAATTAAGACTTTGGCCGGTTCACCATGGTCAGTCCCCGGACTGGCCGGCCAAAGGCTGAAATCAAGAGCTATTTCAGACTTTGGCCGGTTCACCATGGCCAGTCCGCGAATTGGCCGGCCAAAGGCCGAAATCAAGCAAAGTTTCGGTCTTTGACCGACCAAATGGAGACGATATTGGCCAATCCGCGCATTAGCCGATTTCGGGCTTTGACCGTAATATATATATATATATATATATATATATATATATATATATAGGCCTATATATATATATATATATATATATATATATATATATATATAAAATTAATGCATTAAAATTCCTTTTTTAAATAATATTATGAAATAATAAAACAACGATGATGATGCCGTTTTATCGAAACTTTTAAAGTTTATTGAAGATAACGTGTCAATAACATGTTTGTGCTTTTTTTCAAATGCAAGAAAACACACATCGATTAACTGCAAAGTGGAGAGATGTAGCATATTGTAACTTTGAGTGTCGTTTTCCCCATCGACAGAAAATAATGTGTCTTGAGCATTCTCATTTACATGGTTTATGTCTGCTCCAAATTTAATTATTGCATCTAACACCTTGTCGTGTCCATTTTGAGATGCAATCATTAAGGCATTATATCCATCTTGTTTTACATAGTTTATGTCTAATCGTGCTTTAATAAGAATATCTACCACCTTGTCGTGTCCATCTAGAGATGCAATCATTAAAGCATTCCTTACATCTTGTTTTACAGAGTTTATGCCTGCTCCAGCTTTAATAAGAATATCTAGCACCTTGTCGTGTCCATTGTGTAATACAAACATTAAGGCATTATATCCAACATCTTCCATATGATTTACGCCTGCTTCTGCCTTAATAAGAATATCAACCACCTTGTCGTGTCATTTTAGAAAGTCAAACATTAAGGCATTCCTTCTATCTTCTTTTACATAGTTTATGTTTGCTCAAGCTTTAAAAAGAATATCTACCACATTGTCGTGTCCGTTCTGAGATGCAATCATTAAGGCATTATATCCATCATCTTCCACATTATTTAAGTCTGCTCCTGCTTTAATTATAATATCCACCACCCTGTCGTGTCCTTCTAGAGATGCAATCATTAAGGCATTCATTTCATTTTGTTTTACATAGTTTATGTCTGTCCCTGCTTTAATTAGAATATCTACCACAATGTCGTGTTCATTTAGAGATGCATTCATTAAGGCATTATATCCATCATCTTCCATATGATTTATGTCTGCTCCTGCTTGAATAAGAATATCTACCACCGCTTCGTGTCCTTTTAGAGATGTAATCATTAAGGCATTCCTTCCATTTTGTTTTACATAGTTTATGTCTGCTCCAGTTTTATTAAGAATTTTTACCACCTTGTCGTGTCCATTATGAGAAGCAATCATTAAGGCATTCCATCTATCATCTTGCACATGATTTATGTCTGCTCCAGCTATGATAAGAATATCTACCACCTTGTCGTGTCCTTTTAGAGATGCAATCATTAAGGTATTCCTTCCATCTTGTTTTACATATGTTTTGTCTGTTCCTGCTTTAATAAGAATATCTACCACCTTGTCGTGTCCATTTAGAGATGCAAACACTAGGGCATTATATCCATCATCTTCCATATGATTTACGTCTGCTCATGCTGTAATAAGAATATCTACCACCTTGTCGTGTCCATCTGTAGATGCAATCATTGTTTTACATAGTTTATGTCTGCTCTAGCTTTAATAAGAATATCTACCACTTTGTCGTGTTCATTCTGAGATGCAATCATTAAGGCATTATATCCACCATCAAATGTGGAGATAAGAAATGTTACAGATAGTGATAATGATAGGTTAGTAAAAGCGTATTCCACACTTTGGCATATTTCGCGTTTCGTAATTAAATCAATGATTAAGCTCTACGAGTTTTTTCTATACTTGTAGTTTGTAAGATTCAAATTATTATTCAAATAGTTATTTTCCATTCTCCAATATTTTTGTTTAACATAAATGGCTAGAAAATAACACTGTTCATTTAATCACTAATAATGGTTTCGCTATTCTGTTTGTCTGTATGTCCGGAAAGCTCTAGAGAAAATACAAGGAACTTTAAAAGATGCAAAGTAAAAGCCCGTGACTCACATGGCATCTATAATACATTTTCAAAACAAAACAAAATATAGTCAGTTCTATAGTCGAAAAATTACTCACAACAAAATGACTTCATTGATTCTATAGTAAATAGAATTAAAAATCGAAGCTGAAAAAAGCACAATAATAATGACGTCATATATAGTTGATAAAAAGGCACTAACATTATTTCCTTAGTTGTTTGTCTAATCTTAAGTGGTCTGCATCCAGAGTTTGTTTTACGCTTCTCTTAAGAGAGGATCAATACACCCCCCCCCCGTTTAGAACGTCCACAGCGCCCTCTGTATGATTATATTTCGTTCGTGGGGGCGTTGGACGGTCGAAGGGGGCTGCGCCCCCCCCCCCCCCTTGAGACTTTTCTCAAGTTTGAGCTTAGGTACAATATTAAGGAGTATGGCTAAGACAACATAAAGTATGCAATGTAGTAAATATAGTACGCGTTTGTATTAGTATTAAAGCTAAGGTTATTATGTGTTTTATTTTAAGTTATATTTCCAGATCAGTTCAAAATGCCGATTCTAAATGAAAATCTTTTTTCAATAATATTTTTCGTTTCTGGTTAAATTTGATGTTTCAGGTAGGCACTTTGGTTTTGATTTTGATTTAGAGAAAAAGACAACATAATCCACCTATCGTCACATAATTGCTGTTAATATTCAAGTGACCAGTGTATTTCCTGCTAGAAAAAAAATAAAGTAACAACGATGGGGATTTGTGGGATACTCTCTGCAAAAACCGTTAAGATACGTCATCAGTCATAAGACTGACATTAATATGTGTAAACCAATTTTGGTTAAAAGTAAGAGTTTCATCTAACACGTAGGGATGCAAACTCTAGGCTGATAAGTTGAACCGTCAATCACACTTCTAATTAGATCTACAAAAACTTCCAATAAGAGCTGGGATTTTCGCTCAAACTCCAGTTTAGGATTTACTTATTAGATACAAAATAACAGGTGAACTCTACTTCACCTACCCTGTGTCCCGCGAGGTCACGATAGGCAACATCATCATTCACGTTAAAAAAAATGAAAAAACAAAAATTAACTTTGTTACGCGAAAAGTTACCAATATTTTTATTTTAATTAGGGCCTAAATCCCAATTTAGCCATTTCCATAGCAAAGCAGACAAAGATTTATGTCAAATAATTAAGGCGTGAAATAATTTAGTATATAGATTCTAGTTCTAGATTCTAGATGTAGAATTTACGTTGAGTCTAGATCTAGATTGTAGTTTTTGCCATAACCCTAGATCTAGATCTAGAACCTAGATAGATAAATCACACGCATTCTCGAATTAGATTATCACTGAAGCTAAACAAAGATTTATGTATAATATTTAATGCCGGAAATCTAAGTTTTTTCCAGGCATCTCTTCGAAGAAAGTCTACCCCCCCCCACCCGAAAATTTCAAGAGCCCCCCCCCCCCCCGGAGAGAAATGTCTGGAAGAAATACTGCCTGAAATAGACTCTAGATGTAGAATTTACATTAAGTCTAGATCTAGAATTTATGTTAAGTCTAGTGACCTTGATCTAGATCTAGCTAGATTTATAATTTTTTCTTCCTTTAGATACAGAGACATGTGTTGTATATGCCTAATGAAATTAAAAAAAAATGTTAAAAAAATGATAATAGTGTTAAAACCTAATAAAAATAGCAAACGGAAGCATTGTTAAAGCTATAACCGACAGAAAATTAGCTTTAGAACACGTTAAACGTTGAAATGGGCAACGAAATCTGGTATGGAAGCCGTCATTGTTGATGTAAAAAGTAAATAGAAGTAAATTCATTGTTCTGAACTTTTAAAATTAATGTGGTTAATCTACAAATGAATAAATCAATAAATTAATTAACGTCTTAAAATAAATTTTTAATTAACAGTCTGTCTGAAAAAGAAAATTGTTCTCTACCTACATACTATTTTACAGCTCTACACATAGTGCAGAATCTCACCTGTAACAAACGGACAAACAAACAAACAAAAGAATAAATATTCAAATATTTAAACAAAGTTGAGTTTTAGTAGTATATAGATAATCTAAATCAACCAGAGCGATGATTACTTTACTATTTAATATAGATCTAGTAAGTTACTTCAACATAAAGAAAATTACTGAAAGCGGAGATGGTATATATATATATATATATATATATATATATATATATATATATATATATACTCAATTTACTTTATACATACCTTTTTTAAGTAGCAAACTGATGTAATCTAACACACACGTTGAAGTCGTATTATCAAACATTTCAGAATTTAATAATGAAAGAATGTCAATAACGTTTATTTTATTGTTTTCAAATGCAATAAAACATGCATCCAATTCGTAAACATTGAAGAGAGACAATCTATTTTTTCGATTCATAGATAATTTCATTGAAAATTTACCATTTATCGGATGTGTATGGACTATTCTGTTTCGGTCATTTAATAATGGAATTGCATATTGAATGCATATTTTTTTAATTAGAATAGCTACCACCTTGTCGTGTCCATTTTGAGAGGCATCAAATAAAGAATTATATCCAAATCTATTTACGTGGTTAATGTCTGCCCCGAATTTAATTAGAATATCTACGACCTTGTCGTGCCCATTTATAGATGCAATCATTAATGCATTATATCCATTTTTGTTTGTCTGATTTACATCTGCTCCAACTTTAATTAGTATATCTACAACCGCGTCGTGTCCATTTAGCGATGCAATCATTAATGAATTAAGTCCATTTTTGTTTACAATGTTTACGTCTACTCCTAATTTAATTAGAATATGTACTATATGGTTATGTCCGTTTTGAGATGCAATCATTAATGCATTAAATCCATCTTTTTCGACTTGCTCTAGGTTTGCTCCAGCTTTAATTAGAATCTCTACAACCTTGTCGTGGCCACAAGAAGATGCAATCATTATCGAATTATTTCCATCTTTACAAGCATGTTCAATGTCTGCTCCAAATTGAGTTAGATTATATACAATCTGGCTGTGCCCACAGTGAGATGCAATCATTAATGCATTCCATCCATCTTCTTTTATATAGTGTAGGTCTGCTCCATTTCTAATTAAAATATCTACGACATTATAGTGTCCATTTTTAGATGCAATCATTATAGAGTTATAACTACCTTTTTCAACGTAATCAATGTCTGCTCCACCTTTAAGTAGAATGTTTACAACCTTGTCGTGTCCATTTTGAGTTGCAATCATTAAGGCAGACCATCCATTATCTTTCACATAGTTTACGTATGCGCCACCTTTAAGTAGTAAGTCTACAACCTTGTCGTGTCCGTTTGCAGATGCAATAAATAATGCGTTGAGTCCATCTCGGGATTCATGGTTAATGTCTGCTCCAACTTTAATTAGAATATTAACGACTTTGTCACTTCCTTTTTGAGATGCAAAAAATAATGCATTCCATCCATATTCTTCGACTTGGTTTATATCTGCACCATATCCTATTAGAAATTCTACGCCTTTGTCGTTGCCCTGGTCAGAAGCAATCATTAATGAATTAAGTCCATTTTTACTTTTATGGTTCACGTCGGCTCCAAATGTTATAAGAATATCTACGACTTGTAAATTTCCATTTTCAGAAGCGATCATTAATGCATTCCAGCCATCTTCTTTGATTTGATGTATGTCTGCTCCTTCTCTAATTAGAATTTCAACAACCTTGTCTTGCCCTTGACGTGATGCAGTCATCAATGAATTAAGTCCACATTTAATTACATGGTGAATGTCTGCTCCAAAATTAATTAGAATGTCTACAACCTTATCATGTCCATTTTCAGATGCAATCATTAAAGAGTCATATCCATCTTTTTTTGCATGGTGAATGTCTGCTCTAAATTTTAATAGAATCTCAACCACATCATGGTGCCCCATTTGAGATGCAATTATTAACGCGCTGCATCCGTTTTCCTCTTCATGGTTTATGTCTGCACCACCATTAATAAGAATGTTCACAACTTTGTCGTGTCCATTTTGAGATGCAATCAATAATGCATTCCATTCATTTTTTAATAAATGGTTAATGTCGGTTCGCATTTTAATTAGCATATCTACAATCTTGTCCTTTCCATAATAAGATGCAAATATTAATGCATTCCATCCATCTTCTTCGGTTTGCTCAAGGTCTGCCCCACCTTTAACAAGAATATCTACGACCTTGTCGTGGCCCTGACCAGATGCAATCATTAATGAATTTTTTCCATCTTTATTTATACTGTGAACGTTTGCTCCAAATTTAATAAGAATGTCTACTACCTTGTCGTAGCCGTTTTGAGATGCTATCATCAATGCATTGCATCCATGTTTGTCAATATGGTTTATGTCTGCTCCACATTTAATTAGAATGTTTACTACCTTGTAGTGTCCATTTTCAGATGCAAGCCTTAATGAATCATATCCTTTATGGTTAACATGATGAATGTCAGCATTATTGTTAATTAAATGATATATGACTTTTTCGTGTCCACGTTCAGAAGCAATCATTAAAGCATTTTGTTCATACACATTTACCTTATGAACGTCTGCGCCTCCGTTTGTTAGAATATTTAAGACCTTGACGTGTCCATTTTGACAAGTAAACATTAATGCGTTGAATCCTTGTTCGTTTACATAGTTTATATCTGCTCCACTTTTAATAAGTTTGTCTACAACCTTATCGTGACCATAATAAGAAGCAATCATTACTGCATTCCATCCGTTTACTTCGGCATGGTTTATGTCTGCTCCACTTTTAATCAGTATTTCTACAACCTTATCATGTCCATTTTGAGATGCAATCATTAAAGAGTCATACCCATCTTTTCTTGCATGGTGAATGTCTGCTCCAAATTTTAATAGAATCTCAACCACTTCATGGTGCCCCATTTCAGATGCAATTATCAATGCACTGCATCCGTTTTCCTCTTCATGGTTTATGTCTGCACCACCATTAATAAGAATGTTTACAACCTTGTCGTGTCCATTTTGAGATGCAATCAATAATGCATTCCATTCATTTTCGAATAAATGATGAATGTCAGCTCCCAATTTAATTAGCATATCAACGATCGTGTCCTTTCCTTTTTCTGATGCAAATATGAATGCATTCCATCCATCTTCTTCGGTTTGCTCAAGGTCTGCCCCACCTTTAACAAGAATATCTACGACCTCGTCGTGGCCCTGACTAGATGCAATCATTAATGAAGTTATTCCATCTTTATTTATATAGTGAATGTCTGCTCCAAATTTCATTAGAATGTCTACTACCTTATCGTGTCCGTTGTGAGATGCAATCATTAATTCATTCCATCCATGTTCGTCAATATGGTTTATGTGTGCTCCACATTTAAGTAGAATTTTTACTACCTTGTAATGTCCATGTTGGGATGCAAGCCTTAATGAATCATATCCTTTATGGTTAGCATAGTGAAAGTTTGCTTTATTTTTAATTAAAATGTCTGTGACATTTTCATGACCATATTGAGAAGCAATCATTATTGCATTAAATCCTTCTATATCTAAATGATTAATATCAGCCCCGTTTGCCAATAGATTATGCACTACCTTATCGTGTCCATTTTGAGATGCAATCATTAATGCATTCCATCCATGTACTTCGATTTGATTTATTTTTGCTCCACTTTTAATTAGACTCTCTACTGCATTGTTGTGTCCATCTTGAGATGCAATCATTAATGGAGTCCAACCATCTTCGTAGACATGGTTTATGTCTGCACCACCATTAATAAGAATGTTTACTACCTTGTCGTGTCCATTTTGAGAGGCAAGCCTTAAAGCATTAAATCCTTTATAGTTTGTATAGTTAATGTTTGCACCACATTTAATTAAAATTGAAGTTACCTTTTCGTGTCCATGTTGCGAGGCAATCATTAATGCATTATATCCTTCTATATTTAAATGATTAATGTCCGCCCCGATTTCCGATAGAATATGTACGACTTTGTCGTGTCCATTTTGAGATGAAATCGTTAATGAGTTGTTACCCTTTTTATTTACATGGTGAAAATTTGCGCCTTCTTTAATTAGAATTTCTAAGATCGTGGCGTGTCCATTTTTACTTGTAATCATTACTGCATTCCATCCATATACTTCGGCATGGTTTATGTCTGCTCCACTTTTAATGAGAATGTCTACAACCTTATCATGTCCATTTTGAGATGCAATCATTAAAGAGTTATACCCATCTTTTCTTGAATGGTGAATGTCTGCTCCGAATTTTAACAAAATCCCAACCACTTTATAGTGCCCCTTTTGGGATGCAATATTTAACGCACTGCACCCGTTTAATCCGACATGGTTTATGTCTGCACCACCATTAATAAGAATGTTTACAACCTTTTCGTGTCCGTTTTGAGATGCAATCAATAATGCATTCCATTCTTTTTGGAATAAATGGTGAATGTCGACTCCCATTTTAATTAGCATATCTACGACCTTGTCCTTTCCATATTCTGATGCAAATATGAATGCATTCCATCCATCTTCTTCGGTTTGCTCAAGGTCTGCCCCACCTTTAACAAGAATATCTACGACCTTGTCGTGGCCCTGACTAGATGCAATCATTAATGAATTTATTCCATCTTTATTTATATAGTGAATGTCTGCTCCAAATTTCATTAGAATGTCTACTACCTTATCGTGTCCGTTGTGAGATGCAATCATTAATTCATTCCATCCATGTTCGTCAATATGGTTTATGTGTGCTCCACATTCAAGTAGAATTTTTACTACCTTGTAATGTCCATGTTGGGATGCAAGCCTTACTGAATCATATCCTTTATGGTTAGCATAGTGAAAGTTTGCTTTATTTTTAATTAAAATGTCTGTGACCTTTTCATGACCATATTGAGAAGCAATCATTATTGCATTATATCCTTCTATATTTAAATGATTAATGTCCGCTCCGTTTGCCAAAAGAACATGCACGACCTTGTCGTGTCCATTTCGAGATGCAATCAGTAATGCATTCCATCCATGTTCTTCGACTTGATTTATTTTTGCTCCACTTTTGATTAGACACTCTACTTTATTGTTGTGTCCATTTTTCGATGCAATCATTAATGCATTCCAACAATCTATGTCAACATGATTTATGTGTGCTCCAAATTTAATTAAAATATCTACGACCTGTTTATGTCTATTTTTAAAAGCAGTTCTTATAGCATTACAACCATGTTTCCGAACACAGACTATGTCTGTTCCAGGTTTAATTAGGATATCTACTACCTTGTCGTGTCCGTTTTTAGAAGCAATTCTTAGGGCATTCCTAACATTGTTTATGTCTGCTTCACATTCAAGTAGAATGTTTACTACCTTGTTGTGTCCATTATGAGAAGCATGCCTTAAAGCATCATATACTTTATGGTTAGTATAGTGAATGTTTGCACCATTTTTAATCAAAATGGATGTGACATTTTCGTGTCCATGTTGAGAAACAATCATTAATGCATTATATCCTTCTATATTTAAAAGATTAATGTCCACCCCGATTTCTGATAGCATATGTACGACATTGTTGTATACATTTTGAGAAAAACTCGTTAATGAATTGTTACCCATTTTATTTACATTTTGAAAGTCTGCGCCTAATTTCATTAAAATGTATGTGACCTTTTCTTGTCTATTTTGAGAAGAAATCATTAGTGAATTTTGTCCTTTATGACTAACCATTTGCATGTCTCCTCGGATTTGAATTATAGTATCTACAACCTTGAGACGCCCGTTTTGAGATGCAATCATTAATGCATTCCATCCCTGTTTTTCGACATGATTTATGTCTGTTCCATCTTTAATTAAAATGTTTACGATCTTTTCATTGTTAGATGCAAGCTTTAATGAACTATAACTTTTATGATCAACATAGTTAATGTTAGCTCTACATTTTTTTACATTATTTATGACCTTTTCGTGTCCATGTTTAGATGCAAACATTATTGGATTATATCCATTTTTATTTAAACTATGAATGTCTGCTTCAGTTAGAACATGTACGACCTGGTCGTGTCTATTTTGGGATGTAATCAGTTATGCATTCTCTCTATGTACATTTACAAAGTTTATGTCTGCTCCACCGTTAGTAAGAATGTCTAAGACCTGTTCGTGTCCATTTTTAAATGCAATGGTTAACGACTTGTTACCCATTTTATTTACATGGTAAATGTCTGCGCCTCTTTTATTTTGAATATCTTAGACCGTGGCGTGTCCATTTCTTGATGAAATCATTAATGCATCAAATTCATTTTTTTGCACATGATGTACATTTAGTCCTTTCATAAAATTGCTATATCTATTTTAATTTCATTACGTACAAAATTCTGGAGACCATTAATATATGCGATTCTTACTAATTATCGAACTTTTAAATTATTTTGGCTTGCACAAAATCTGCGAGTGTGTGTTTAGTTTTCAAATTGCGACAATATTTTTGTTACATTTATTTTCATTTTTAGTTAGCTTGAGGTAGTCTATTTCTTTAATTTCTTTTTTTTAATACAGCGCTTTTTGTGGAATACTGAGTAATGATTGAACTGAGTAACGGTTGAAGAAGAGGCGAAAACAGCTGGGCTCACATGTGCAAGGATAAATGGAGCAGCACCAAACCGCTGGAGATGTGTGGTTGCAGCCTTTTGCTCCCCAGGGGCCACAAAGGAATGATAATGATAATGATGATGAGTAGTGATTCCATTACCATATTAACAAAATAATTCATATTTTTCTTATACAACCAATTTTGTTTACACTCAGTTATTAAAATTCTTTAATACTATGAAAAGCTTTAAGTTGAATGTCTAGAAAACAGCATACGTAGTATCAACTGAAAAATCGAGAAAATGTAAATAAATAAAATGTTTGCGATCAAGAGGTGATATTGATGCAAAAAATTCACTTCCAATTATCTAAAAGCCATATCTGGGCATATTGTTATAAAAACATTGTGCTATTTAACGTAAAATATTTCACATAGACACAGCAATTTCCCAATTACAAAATATATTAAAATACCTAAATTAATAAAATTAAATTCCATTAGTATAATATATCTAAGATTTAAATAAAATACAATGCCATTTTTAATGAAAGTACATAAACAATTATAGATTTAGTTTTTATTGTTTCATTATTGTATAACTATAATAAATAAAACTAAACGATACAATTTAATATTCAAAGTTTTATTTGTAAGAGTCTAAGATTAAACGCATAAAATGAATTACGTATTATTAAGCTCAGTTTTAAAGCGAATACAGTTTTAGAATAAAATTATATTACATAAGTAAATAGCTAAATCATTTAAAATTTTGTTTCCATTATATTTGTTATAATGTTAAGGCAGTTAACTGAAAACCACACGGTTTAAACCATAGATATCCACTTTTGAAATTTTCGAGTTAGCGCCCTTTTCGTTTAATACTATCACGTTTAATGATATGAAAGCTAGTAGCTAAGTCCTGTAACTGCAGATTCCTAAAGTGTTTCCAAGTTACTTGTGAAGACGACGTTTTAGATTTAAGAGAAAATCAAAGCAGTGACATGGAAAGCTGGACAGTCTTGAAGTAACACAGAGGTTGGTGGATTTTGTCAAAAGTCCCGTTTTAAATTTTTAAATTTAGACTAACAGATAGTATGTTTATTCTTTAATATTGGCGTCAGTGACATGTGTGAAAGTTGGAGGGTTAGAGACACTATGGGTTATGAGGTGTGTTAACAGCCCTCTATGTTCATCTTGTTGTCGGAAAAATGCTAATCATACGTTTAGCTTTTATTTCAGCTCTGTATATTTGTATGTGATATTTTCATTATTTTATGTTGTTACATCGTGTTTTAATTATTCTTTTAATCTTTACACTAATTTATTTACAATACTAATCTGAAATGCATTGCAGTTGCTATTGTGGAAAGTCTATATGTAATGGAATTCGACGCGTGTGTTTAATAAGCAGCACATACACGGCAGTGACCAGATTTAGGGAAATATTAAATTTTCAATTAATGTGTACAAGCAAATACGAAATTTGAAAAATACCCCCCTAAATTTAACTCTAAACATAACCATTTACAATCACAACCACAAAATAATTGAACAGATAATTAGACAAAAACCCTCACCTCCCAATTACACGTCTAATAACATAACAATATAAGCACAAACCTATAGGCCTACATTAACATGAACCCTAAATCTCACCACAACCACAACCACGAATAATAAACATAAATAAAATCATAAACCAACCGTCATATCAACTTCAACCACTAACATAAACCATTCCACTACCCACACTTCTAAGCATAAAAAAGAGCATACTGCATAAATAAAACATAAAAAGAAACATAACCATAGCCCTATCTACAACCTCAACCACATACATAAACATAAATACAAATACAAACACAAACAAAACATACATTTAAGCATTAGAATAATTATAAACAAAAATTTACCTCAACTTCAACTATAAAATTTATCACATCTAAGCCTTATTGTAGTTAATCTAGTCATATAGGCCTATATGCACACTTGACAGTAGTTTCTCTAACATTAGATACTCATCATAGTGGGGGTGGGGGGGGGGAGAAATGGCAATCAGCGAATATTATTACTATACATTGAAATGTTTAGTTTTATTATAAACTCAGCCATTCATATTTAAGTCTGATTAACCATGGTTAAGTAGAATCATTTGCAGATTTAGTAATCACTATCTCAATTTCTTTATAGGCTTAGTATTTAGTTGACCTTAACCTAAACGTCTACCAAAACAATATAATAACTGGAAGCCTAAACTGAACTCAACATTAAATATTTTTACTTTTCGTATACGAAGTATAGAGAAAGTTTTGTAATCGTGCAAATATAGAAAACATATTTTTGCAAATCTCGACGTTTTACACTTCATGAGTCGGATAAACATAGTTTTGCAATCTTGTCCGTATGTCTCCCTCTCTTTCTCGCCCTCTCTCACTCTCTCTCTATCTCTCTCTATCTCTCTCCCTGTTTAACACGATAACTTGGGTACCGTTACAGCTAGGCTGATGACATTTCAACAATACTTATTAAATAAAATTTGTAGATTGCTTTACACTTTTCAGCGATTTCCGATGACTGGAAGTGGCACTTATCATACTTTTAATTTTTTTAAAGCCTATAACTTGAGTACTGTTTCAGATAGATAAACAAAATTTCAAATATACATAAAAGATCATATTCTCTTCCTTCTGTCAAATTTTGAGTAATATCATATAACCGGAAGTAGTATTTTACGCTATGTCCGATTCCTAAAAAAAAACGCATGTGAATTTATAAAGTACTAATATATTCCGCTTTATTATACACATTTTGTTTGGCGTTCACATGGTGCGCAATTCTTATTTTCTACGCGATTCTATTCTTTTTAAAGGGATGGTTACATTAGCTTCAAGCGTCTGAATAAAATTAATAAACTAATTATTTTATGTTTGTTTTACGTTTGCGTTTGCGTTCATTTTTGCGTTTGTGTTTGTGTTTGTTCTTTTACCAAGATAGTAGCCTACATTTGAACCATATTATCTCAACTTTTAAAATTTAATTTTTTTTTATATGGTTCGGCTTTTGGACCATGAATGAAGGAATGACTACTCTTTTTTTTAATAATCAATATTTTTGAAATATTGATTTTTCCTTTCTCCTTTCTCGTATACTAAGTATAGAGAAAGTATTGTAATCATGCAAAAAAATAATTCACAGATCTCAATGTTTTACACCTCACTGAGTCGAAAAACATAGTTTTGCAATTTCGTCCGTATGTCTGTGTGCGTGTATATATGTATGCCTGTAAATAATATAACTAGGATACCGTTACGGCTAGGTTGATGCAGTTTTATATTAAAGTAATATATCAAATTTGTAGTTCTGTAACGAATTTCAGCGATTTCCGATAAACGGAAGTGGAAATTATTCTACTTTTAATATTTTAAAAGCCTATAATTTGAGTACTGATTCCGAAAGATAAAAAAAAAATCACATGTAAGTAAAAGATCTAATTATTTTTCTTTTGTCAAAGTGTGAGTAATTTAATTGA